AGATCCTGAGAGGGTTTGCTTCAGAGAGGCAAAGAAGATGGGAGATGGGATTCCAAATGGCAAATAGTGTAGACAAAAGTGGGTAGATAGAACTGGGCTTCTGTTCTCTGGAGACCATGAGGAGAGTTGGTAGAATTGTAGTAGGCTACTGGGGAGGAGGACTGAAAGGTGGCTAAGTGACAACCTGAGAGAGGGCAGTAATCACAGTGATACATTATGGAGGGCTTCGATTACCAGAAAAGAAACTGTGGACTTGATTTTGAGAAAATGAGAGTCTTGGGAATTTTCTGTTTAAGAGGCTAAAGGTTGATAACGGTATTTTGGGAGATTAATTAGGCTGCCTTTAGAAAGAAGGTGTCTTTTCACAGGTGTTAAGATTATTAAATGGGCTACAGAAATAATTTTAGGGAAAAAATTTGAAATGGCACTCTATTTTTGTATAGTATAATTTGAATTATCAAAAATTAAATAAAATGAAATTTATATTTCATTAGTGTTAAACCTTGGCCTAAAATAAAAGTGTTAAATATACCAGATAATCAGAGTTTAAAAGTCACTGTCGGGAATATCTGTGCTCCATCATCTCTTAATGAAGTCTCTTTAAAGACAAATATTAAAGTTTACTCTCCACTTTTTTATTTTTTCGATATTTATCTGATTACTTTCTATCTGATACAAAGTCACTAAGTAACATCTGCTTCTATCTCAAAGCCAAGCTTTTGTTCTCTTTAGTCTTAGCCTTCTGGGCTATCCTGAACATACCACGTAAATGAAAAGGAAACTATCAGTGACCATCGCATCTTCTACCAGGCCACCTTGCAGAAGCATAGCCCATGCCTTTGACTTCCCAGAGGGAAGATCTTTCATCTTCTCATGAAAACCATAATGAACCAAAATGTATAATTCCCCTAAGTTCTATAATGTCAACTTTTTGCTTGGCCAGAATAAAGGAGAGAAAGGGAGAGGATGGCAGCTGAATAATTTAGTAACCATGGATCATTTGGTGACCCTATTTAGTCTCACTAACAATCAGAAAATGAAATTAATAAACATCACTGTGCTTGTGGGCCTACTAAGGTCCACTGTAAGGCCATTTGTGAATTATGCAGGCCTAAAATGAACCCCAGGATGTAAGTGCTCAGCTACTCTTGTGTCCTTGCCTTTGAACTCTGATATGCTCATGAGTTCTAAAAGTATACAAGCCATCTAGAACTTTCAACTAAACCCTGACCCTTAATTCTGGATCTGACTACTGAACATTTCTGCCTTGTTGGATAGGTCCTGGATATATTATATCAAATCGAGATATTAATGTTGAACTCATTTATCAACTGCCAGATACATGCTTCTCTTTTCCATGTTCTTCATTTCGAAGAATTGCAGTGCTGCTCACCAAATCGCAAAGCTGGAAACTTTCAAGTTATTTAATGACTCCTTCCTCTCTTTAAACTCCTTCAACTCTCCATCAGGTTGTATGGTGTCTAACTCCTCTTTTCTTATATTTCGTAACTACTTTTAATTTCTACTGCCATTGCTTTAGTTGATACCTTCATAAACCTTATAAGCAGAAAGATCTAGTTAGAATCCCAGTTCTGCTACTTTCTAGACTTGGTTTAGACATTTAGATTCCATTTCCTTACCTTAAAAAAAAGGTGGATTTCCACCTTACAGCTCAGTTTTGAGGATTGCCTGAGATATTCTAGGTAAAACTCCACACAGTACGTGGGTTATAGAAGACATTCAGTGAAGGTTGACCTCATATTCATGATCATACTTCACTCAGCTTGACCAATGTCTAGCACATAGTAAGCATTCAATATATGTTTATTATATTACTGTTGTTATCATCATCATCATCACAGTCTCCCTGCCTCCAATCTTGTACCCTAATATTCCATCCTCCACCCCACCATCAGAATCTACATAAAATACTAATACCATCTCCTTTTTGCTTGATATCTTTCAGTGGTGCTCTCATCCACAGGAGGTCCTTTTCTGGATGTGTGTAACTGCCCTTGATCTGACCTAGGCTTCAGTTCCACTCTTATTTCCTCTGCTCAATACAAACTCCTAACATGGAGGCCGAGGAAAAGTCTATATTTCCCCTACCCATCACCAAACAAACAAAAGGTTATTTTATTTCATATCTCCATTAATTACCTTCATCTCAATCTGACAAATTCTAGTACATTGTTTAAAATTCACCATAGTAATCTACTAGTACTTCATATAACCTTCTGTGCCTCCCCAAGCAGAATTATATGCTTCCAATTTAATTACTGTAATCTTGTCATTGTACTTCCAAAGCCCAATATTAAGTAGAGTTGTTTAATACACTTTTGTTGAAATAATGGTTTGGGGTATTGGGAAATTACAGGAAAGACAAACTGTAGATAGGTAGATAAATAGATAAGTTATATATGTCACATATATTAAAAACTACATGATCATATAACTTAATACTGCTGTTGTTTATACTACTAATTTCTCATATGTGGGACCTATATTGAAAATTGTTAATATTTATCAGGAAAAAGTATTTGTTTTGGCTTTTCCATAATTACTAAGTCATCCTTAGGACAAGCAGCACATTTGCAAAGTGTGTGGATAGTACAAACCCTGGGGCTGTGAAATAGCGACACTAGCTGATTCACCATGTGCCAGTAACTTGGCATTGGCCGCAGCTAAAGCAGTTATTCTAATAAACTGAGATTTACATCAGATTAAACTGTGAGAAGAAATAGGGCAGAGTGGTCAAGAAAATGGGCTCTGATTTTAGAAAATTCAAGTTCGAATTCCAGTCCACTGCTTACTAACTATATGATCTTGAATACGTTCCCTAACTTTTCAGAGACTCTTCCCTATGAAATGTAAATAATAATGGTACCCACATAAGAGGATGATTGGGAGTATTAAATGAGGTAATATGAGTTAAGTTTCAAACTTAAGCTATACAATCTTTCAGACACACAAGACCACCATAGGCCACATTTGGCATCAGTCTGCTTAGAAGGATATAGAACAGGAACCAGAACTTGTCATCATTGTAGCATCAGACATTCCTCATCTGGTGGGAGTTCTCCTAGAAATCCATGCAGCACAGCTCAAATGGAAGAAGATAAGTCCTACATCAGGCAGGTTCCTAGCTGCCTTGGCTAAAATGTCTCATGCTCCACAGAAGCTAATATCTCTTGAAGTGATCCCATTGTCATAGCCTGCAAGTTACCCGCAAAAAACAAGCCCTGAGCCAAGAGTTGACATGTTCAGGGAAGCTCAAAGGTGTGGCCACCTACCAGGTATTTATAATTTCCCAGTACAGACAGAATTTATCCAAAGGGATTATTTTGTCATAAATAATATGATCTAGTAACGTAGCTGACATCCCAACTTTCATCAGGTTACCAGGGTAACTGTAACTGGAGGCAGTTAACTGATGATCAAATTCTCTACAAAAGGTTAAAAAGGATTGTTAATCCTCTGCCTGTACATAGAACATGAACCTAATAAGTATTACATAGAGGATAATATATGCATATGTATATGAAAACAATCTCATAAAGAATAAGAAATGCATCTAAGAGGAAATAAAATATGGAGAATTTTGCAAGGGAGTAGTTATAGAGGTCATCATTTGGTCATTATTTTGCCTGATTTTCATGGATAAACCATAAGTGTAAGAGTGAAAACTTGCTCGTCACAGAGAAAGTTTTGCTCTATGGTTAGTGTTCTACCTAATGAATCATTAATACTCAATACGTGACATTGGAGTAAAACTGGGATTTTGGTCCTCTCTGTTGTTGTAAGAAAAACAGCTGACTCACAGAGCCCTTTTACCGCCACTCTCAGATGACTGTTCTTCTCAGACCTCTCAGCTCAGACAAATTGACTTTGATGCTTTGAGCTCTAATTGTCTCCTAGGAATGCAATTTTCATCCACATGCCAGTAGAATTAAGAAGATTGAATGTCAGTTGTTACATTAAAATGGACCTGCCTTTCTGTATGGTTAATTACCATAGTTAAATATAGCACCTGAATGACAAGACACAATTAACAGTGCGTTCTCCCATCGGAACAGATGGTTCTATCATGGAGACAGGCTGCCTGCGTCTTGTAAACATGCACTATTGGTTATTGAGAATGGGCAAGAGTTCAGCTAAGAATCAACATAAGGCCATCCAATTCCAGAAAACTCCTCAAAGTGCATATGCTCTTAGTCATTGATATGCATAGTATCATCTTCATCTTCATATGCAGATGTTACAATTTCGAATCCAACATTCCTGTAATTCAAGTAGAAGTAGATAGATAAGAGTTTGAACATAAATACTTTACTGATGACTAAATATTAGAGATCTATTTAGAGGATATCTCTACAGTAATATAGAAGACATCTCTACAGTAATATAGATGTAAATAGATTTACTTTTCTAATGCTTATGATGTATTTCATTAAGATACCCATATGTTTACTGTGTATTAAAATGTGAACTGGAAAAATTGATGTATTTGAATAAGGATACATTATAATTGTGACAGCTGAAGTTTCAAATGATATTAAAAATAATGTTAAGCATATATTAAATTACTTTTTCTATTCAAAACAATATTGTATTAAGTTGGCCAGCATGTTTATTTAAATCACTAAACAGAATGTAAATTATCATATGTTAATTTTCTCATTTTCTAAATTAAAACAAATCTGGAATGAGTGAAATGAACAATATGGTAAACTTAGTTTCAGCCAATTTTGCTTAATCCCTTTATTTTCTATTTCCTATGAATGGTTTAACAACTGTTACAAAATAGGAGGAAATGCAAATGTTAGCTTTGAGTCTAACTGCTTTTACACATCATAAATGTTGATATATTTTCACTGAAATTGGAATTGTACCTCCACGTAGAAATAAAAACGTCCAAGCTGATTTCACTCTGAAGTATAGAAGACAAAGTTCCTAACTGCCTGTAAGCCTGTGTTGAGATTGTCAATGCTCTTTTGCAGCTTTTGCCAGCAGGAGAAGCTGCCAATGACCTTCCAGTCCTGTGTGATCACCAAAGAGTGCCAGGTGTCAGAGTGGTCAGAATGGAGCCCCTGCTCAAAAACCTGCCACAATATGGCATCCCCTAAAGGCGTTCGTGTAAGGACACGGAGCATCAGGCAGTTTCCTATCGGAAGCGACAAAGACTGTCCAGAACTTGAGGAGAAAGAACCCTGTGTGTCTCAAGGAGATGCAGTCGCCCCCTGTGCCACGTGAGTAAATGAAGGACTACAGCTTCTGTGACCGTGTCTGCCCAAGTTGCATATCCCTTCCGTTGTTGGCTTTCAACTGAATAGTATGTTGGGAAATAGTGATTTTTACAAATTCTAAGTGGAAAAGTAAAATCCCTCTTTACAAAGGCTATCCTAAAAAAAAAAAGATAAGGGTTTTACAGAATAAAAGTGTCTTTAACAAGTTGTATTTCCAAATCTCCATAAGGCTACATTTTATATATTTTCTATAAAAATAATATATTATTGGTAGACTTTTTCTGTAAAGGGTAAGATAGTAAATGTATTAGGCTTACGAGCCACATATGTCTCTGTAGCAATGAGTCAACTGTGCCCTTGGAGCTGTAGACGGTATGTAAACAAATGAGTGTGCATATGTTCCAATAAAACTTTATTTATAAAAGCAGGGGACAGGTTGGATTTGGTCTTTGGGCCATAGTTTGTCAACCCACATTCTGTAAGGTAAATAAACTTTCAAAATATAGGTTCCTGTTATTTATTAAGCAAGTCCTACTAAAATTCAGTACTGTATATAACAAATCCTATGGAATAGAGTCAAATACTACATCAAAATAATTCAAAATAATGAGACTTTAAGCTTCTTGAGGACAAGCATTGTACTTTTTTTTAATGCTTTTTGGTGAGGAAGATTGGCCCTAAGCTAACATCTGTTCCCAATCTTCTTCTTTTTTTCTCCCAAAAGCCCCATACATAGTTGTATATCCTAGTTCTAGGTCATTCTAGTTCTTCTATGTGGGATGCCACCACAGCTTGTCTTGATGAGGGGTGTGTAGGTCCTCACCCAGGATCTGAACTGGCAAAACTCTGGCCACCAAAGCAGAGCATGAACCCAACCACTCAGCCACAGGGCTGGCCCCCAGGATTGTGCTTATTAACTTGTTTTGCTTTTGTTTTTTTTTAAATCTCTAGCATATATCACAGGGCCTGGCACATAGTAAGTGCCCAGTAAATGTTCATTGAATTCAGATGAACCAAAACTAATTCTGAAATATTTGGCAGCATAACCATATCCTTTTTGTCCTTAAAAAGACATTGTTATTACTGTTTGATGTTACTACGAATTATCTTAGTAATAAATACACTTCAGCTTAGTCTGAATATAGAATATTTATAAAACAACTTAGAGAATCTTAGTTTCTCAATACATATGCACAAGTTTCACTGAGAACTTCTCTGGAATATTCCAAACATTTAAAGAACATGCATACAGCTCAAATTTCATGAACCAGTGAGGAGGAAAATTACTGCTACTTCTAACAATAATAATAACAAAGATAGTGATGATTTATACAAGATCTTCAATTCTCCACTCTCCCCTGTGTAACAAATGACTGAAAACTCCAGAGTTTCCTTCCTCACTGCTCTGTCTGTCCCACCCACTTGTGTGTTCCTCGTCATAAAACAGGCTCGAGGACCTGGCCAGGATGCCAATCAGAGTGCCTTGTCTCCTAGGACTTTCTTCTCTCTTTGTCTCAAGCTAGATGTTTTATTCTTTATCCGCTCATATTCAAACACTATTAACAAAGTAAATACATATTCTGAGTTCTCGTTCTTCTCACCCTTTTTGGAGGGTATCATTTTTTTAGAATATGAAACCAATTTACACAGGACTCCTTAAGATGACCTAAATTGGGACTCCATTCTATAAAAAAAATAAAATTTTCATTTTAACTCCCCTAATGAATGACTTGCTTTGTTTTACTTTCCTCGCCCCCGCCTCTGCCCAGGGCATCAATTATCCATGTTTTTAGAATTGACCTGAATACTATACTTCCTTTATAAACAGACATTAGGCGTTGTTCCTTGATGCCCCAGTCCTGCACCTCTTTTATGCCATGAATCCCCACTTATAAAGATTAAAAACAGGTATGAAAGTCAGCTTTCTGTCATGGAACTTTACCACTGACAAAGCAGAGCATCTAGATCACACATCTGAGGGCCCACTTAACTTTTTTGTCTAATTGAGATGGACATTAGCACATCCATTTGTACCTATGTTGGCTGTTAATCTGATTACTAAGGAAGCATCTTGGTTAAAGTGACACAAAGTGCTACATGAGCCATTTTCTTTGTGCTTTTAGAATATCCATTTTCCTCGAGCTGAAGAAATGCCGTCACTTTCTATCTTCAGTGGCATCGGGAAATGGTGCCCTGGCTATCTCCTTAAAGCACGTGTTGGGCTGACAAGCCCTCGACATTTCTTCCTCATCATAATCTTGACTGGAGCTTTAATTTAGAATCACAGATCGTCTTTCCTGTGTTCCACTGATTAGAAATGTCAGCTCTTTTCATCAGTCATCAGCACTCATCAGGGACAGCTCAGTGCTACAGAAAAAGCAGTTATTCTTGACAATAAAGAGAAAACTCTAAATTGTTATATTTTGTAATCCTAACACACAATTATAATTTTGATCCAGTATGAAAAAGCAATTTTCGTGCATTTTATTAAAGGCAAAACAAATGCTTGGGTTGATCATTTAGAATATTTTCCATTCCCAGATTCAATCCTTCTTTGTTTATAAGCATCAAGAAAGGGCAAGCTGGAGTTCAGCTTAATTGAACATAAAATTTCATGTTTTCAGCATTATGCTCTATTTTCATAAAATATTTATAAGTAACTTCCAGTGGTTGCAATTAAAACAGGATCATCCTAAATTTAACCCCTCTTTAAATGGAGCACTGCTGAGGATAAAGAACAGGTTGAAATTGAATCTGCACCATACATGTAGTAGTCTACGACTGATTCAAGAAGGAAGTGTGTTTTAGATGAATTTTCTTAAGAAAAAAAAAATATGAGAAGAGCAAAGCAAAGTTTTAGTCAATAAACATGGTTGCCGCTGCCGGCGTTCTCTTTATGTAGGTATGGCTGGAGGACCACGGAGTGGACCGAGTGCCGCGTGGACCCTCTGCTCAGTCAGCAGGACAAGAGGCGGGGCAACCAGACGGCCCTCTGCGGGGGAGGGGTCCAGACCCGAGAGGTGTACTGCGTGCAGGCCGAGGACAACCTCCTCTCGCGCTTGAACAGCCAGAAAGACAGAGAAGGTAAACTTTGTTTTCTTCTCAAAGACTCCCACATGCAGACCGAGCATGAGATCGCCCTGCAGGAATACATAACGCAGCCATTTAAGGCATGAATAGCCATATTTCTGTTCACTTTGTGGTTGACACCCGCTTTAGTGAACAGTAATCCGAAGTTTGATTGTAAAGAACATTTAAATCCAATTCCATCTTTTGTCAGTTCTGATTTACTGACAAGTCTCTTTAAATTTTCCAACTCTGACTCCGAGTCAAAACTTAGGGCGAGTAATTAATTATAAAAATAGAATAAAAATTCATCTTGTAAGTATACATGTAGAATGTAAATATATATTATAAAGTCCAAATTGTCTTTTCTTTAGATAAGAAGTAAAACCTGCGTGTAAAAAACACCTCCTATTGCTGTTTATAATTGGTTGAAAAATAAGTTAATTATGGTATTGAATGAATATTTCAATTGGAGTTTAAATGAAATAAATACAGAGTAAAACTACAGTAAAAAAAAAATCTTTAACCCAAAGGCATGACTTTTTTTTAAACCCTTTGATTTGACAGACATATCTTAGAATTTTTTTGTTTAAATCTCAGTTTGGGGACCAGATGTGATAAGTGTGCAAAAGGATAAGTGAGTCCAAGATGGCCAGGGCTAAAAGTATATATTATTATATATTAATATTACTCTAAAATTCTAATCATTATCAGATCAAGTTTATATCAGTTAGTTCTCTTCAGTCCACACATATATAAATATTTTTAAGCAATGCTGTAAGCAGACCCTCCTGCATTCCCTTTATTTGAGGGGTAGCGTGATTTCTATCCCTCATCCACTCGACAGTTAGCATGTATAAGTTGCCAACAGAGTTCCAAAAATTGTGTAAGGTGGTGAGGATAGAAATAATGATACAAATTTTGGACTGAGAAAATGCTCACAGTCCTCATGAGGACCACAAACCAATAGTTGTAACATGATATGATATGGATTATAACTGAGTTTTAGAATCATAGGGGGATCATAGAAACAGGAACTTTCATAGAGGAGATGGCACTTGAGGTGAGTGATGACACACTCCACACACAGTTAAGTGGGTCAGGAATGCAAGAGGGAGTTTATTCCAGGCAGAGGGAACAGCCGCATTACAGCACACCATTAGAGAAAAGCAAAAACGAAAAAGAAACCTTGCCAATAGAGATGAGTATATTGTGTTTGGCAAGTTGTGGATATGATAGGATAGTATTTCCCAGCAAATATGTTGGATGGAAAAGGAAATGAATAAGGATAAAGACCTTGGTTGATATCAGCAGATGAAAGACCAAAAAAGGGAGAATATTCAGAGAAGAAATCTGATCAAGAATGACCAGAAAAGAAGGGAAAGAACCATGAGAACTGCGTGTTTTAAAAAACAAAAAAAGGGAGTGGGCCCGGTGGTGCAGCGGTTAAGTTCTCATGTTCCGCTTCTTGGCAGCCCGGCGTCCACCAGTTTGGATCCCGGGTACGGACATGGCACTGCTTGGCAAAAGCCATGCCGCGATAGGCATCCCACATATAAAGTAGAGGAAGGTGGACATGGATGTTAGCTCAGGGCCAGTCTTCCTCAGCAAAAAGAGAGGAGGATTGGCAGTAGTTAGCTTACGGCTAATCTTCCTCAAAAAAAAAAATAATAATAAGTAAAATAAATTAAAAAATGAAAAAAAAAACAAAAGAAGAGATGGCTCCTGTGCCTCTCCCAAAAAGGAGTGACAGCAGGGACTAGTGATTCATGAAAAATAAGCACTGAAGTTTTGTTTTTGCAACTTGCCAAACTTAATTGTTTTGCATCCACTAACTTTACATAGCTTGTCAGCTCATTTAGGAATCTAGCCTGGGGATACATTTTCCTGCTAATGGACCTTGAGGTTGTAGGGAGTAGCATAAAACATGCAATGTTAGTACACTAATATTTTCTTAGCCAATTTAATGGCTACGTTTTTAACACTCTTAGATGGATTTATTATAGCAGTCCTTTCAGAGTAGTATAATTTCATTGCTAGAGGTAGATCAGATTTTAGTTTCTGAATGTCAGTTATGTCCTTCCTGTAGGTTATTACTTTCAAAAGATCCTTCAGAATTCTGAATTGCAGCTGGATACTTTTTCAATCGTTTTGTCATGTAGTCCCTCTACGGCTGTAGCACCAAAAATAAAAGTCACAGAAAAAAAGCAAAACAAAAAGAGTATCATTCTTAAGATGTATCTGTTGGACTAAAGCAAATGCCAATGCAAAGATCAATAGATATGGAAATAATCAATTTGCCTAAAATTAATATTTATCATGTAAGTATGTAACATGACTAACTTAGGAATTTGTGTCCTTTTGTGTCAAATACCAAGAATACTACTAAGCCTCCTATAGTCTTTGCAAAAACAGTTGATTGTCCCTCTAAATTGCAGCTTTTTTTCCTCAGAACTCAGACTATGTGAGTTTTCCCCCAGAAGCACTTAACATTTCCCAAGAGGAAAGTTATTCAATATACCAGCGTCCCAAGAGTGACATGTGAAGACTGTAAATATGTGTGAATGGAGAACAATTAGACAGTGAGCTGTGAACATTGTTCATGGTCTGTCTTCCTTCAATAAATGTGAAAGAATGAAAGCTTGCTTTATAAAGGGAGGGAAAACTCTCAAAATAACTCTGTCAATCAATCCTAATAAGAAGGCACTGATCTCAAGAAATCTTGACTGCGTAGCCATGAGGAATTCAGATTGTACTTAATTTGAAGAACAAAGTCTACTGTGTTGTTTTTGCAGATTCACACTATATGTGCTATAAATGTCTTGTTTTCACATGTAACCAAGCTATTAAAAATACCTTAACTCAAGATCAAATACTTTACCTCAAAAATAAAATTTCTTGATACAAAAATACTGAAAACAAGTGATACAGAATTCACAGAAACTTCCTTTATCATCTTGGCACATCATATTACACAGAGGAATGGTGATGACCACGTTAGCACAGGATAGAGCCACATTAAATCACTTTATTCATTGGTGTGTTCTCTACTGTTAACTGATTCACACCACATTGGGGCATAATAGTTCTCCTGCTTGGAGCTAATATATTTAATTTCTGGAAAATCAAAATATGTATTATTAAAGTAGTCACAACGTGTAATGTATGGTATTCACAACTTGGTATCTTATCTGTGTCAACTGAATTATATCATCATAAAATTTATTAAGTTGGTAGCATCTGTAGACAATAGGAAAAATATATCTACTTGATATTGGAGGTTATCCACATTTTATTCATGTATTGCTGTTTACCATAGGTAACCCTCTCAATCCTGTCGACCTTTCCTCTACAATATTCAGATAAGCAAAATTTTTATTATCATTTCTTTAAAAGAAAGGCTTGGCGTCAGTTCTCTATTGAGAAAATTAGTAGTAAAACCCTTGACAAATTCTATTCAGCTGGCTGATCAGAATTCCAGTAAGCTATGAAGAATGTCCAGCTTGTGCTGGCGTGAAATCTACCCTTATCAGAATATGACAGGAAGAATCCTTGTCCATAGGGAGGTTTCAGCATAAGTCCTAGAAAGCTGATGAAAATGTTGCTGATCATTGAATGCGTGAATGTGAATTGGTTTTTTCTAAGATTTCAAAGTGAAATGAAGGTAGAATTTATCTATAATAACTCAAGAAATTCTTCCATTTGACACAGATTGAACATGTTTTTAAATAAGGAAAACCAAAAGTATTGGTTATAAAACATCATGTAGCTTACAGTGATTTATTTTATAGGAAACTTAAGAACATTCATTTGTAGAAAACATATCAAATAAGCCACACTGAAATCTGGATAAGGTCTGTGGGATTTGAGGTTATAAAGAAAGACAGCCTGGCTAATGAGCCTGTATGATAACGTGGAATGAGATAAACCAGCAGAAAGGCTTGGAGGATCAGTGGAAAGATGGACAGAAGGAAGTATGATTGAACTGTGAATGGGTAGACAGAAGGATGAATGAAGAGCTCCTGTTTTCTCATGTTTGGCAAAGAAATAAGGAGAATAAAGTGGTCAACATCCCTAAGAGGAATGCAAATTCTTTATAATTGTAGTCTTTTATCCACAGTTTCCACAAACTAGCCCACTTCAGTCAAAGCTATGTGGGGAAAAAAAAAGGCTCTGCTTATGGTGCTGTTCCGCTGTTATCTCAGAAAGTGCATATCAGAGTATGTCGAAGTCTGGTCTGCCCCTTTCCTATCCATCCCTTTTGGAATAACGGGTAGGTGAGACTATTTTACAGGACATTTCAATCAGAAATGCGCATCAGAGATTCTCCCTACGTTCTCTGATACAATCCTTAAACCATCCAGGAAAGATAGTAGTTTACTTTTACTTTCTATTTTGCTAGAAGTAGATCAACCCTGTCCCATGAAATAGAAATGATTTCATGTTACTTGACTTTCTATAACATCATTATATGGGTATAAATTATGGAAAAACATAAAAAGGGTTTTAAATTTACTGACTTAAAAATGTCATAGGCTATCATAGTTATATAAAAAGATATGTAAAGTTTGGTTCTGAATGCTTTTGTTGAGATAAATTACTGTAGGTAGGAATACGTTTCATAATTTATGATATTTTTAAGCACACTATTTTGTGCTCTACTAATCTTGTAGTACATGAAAAGGGAACTAAATCACATGATAACTACATTTTGGAAATATAGTCTATAGTGATGCAGTGGGTTGCAAAAAGCACTGTAATATAATTATAGAATAATTAAAACATGGGAACTCCCTGAAGGAATCAGATCCTCCTCGGAAATCACTTCCCTGGATATTTTGCGAGAGAGAAGGACTGTTACCCTGTGAAATTTCTCTGTGATGAGTAGATTACAAAAAGAGAAGTGAGATGCCAAGAAGCTTCAGCCACTGGGATAGAAGCTAATAAAAACTTACATGCTGGGAATTAGATTAAGCTGGTCTGTGGCCTACCCTACAGGTAACTTTTAGGGGAAGAGC